GTTATTACCTAGTGCTGTTATTACCTAGTGCTGTTATTACCTAGTGCGTTATTACCTAGTGCTGTTATTACCTAGTGCTGTTATTACCTAGTGCTGTTATTACCTAGTGCTGTTATTACCTAGAGCTGCTATTACCTAGTGCTGTTATTACCTAATGTTATTACCTAGTGCTGTTATTAGTGTTATTATTACCTAGTGCTATTATTACCTAATGTTATTACCTAGTGCTGTTATTAGTGTTATTATTACCTAGTGCTGTTATTATCTAGAGCTGCTATTACCTTGTGCTGTTATTACCTAATGTTATTACCTAGTGCTGTTATTAGTGTTATTATTACCTAATGTTATTACCTAGTGCTGTTATTAGTGTTATTATTACCTAGTGCTGTTATTATCTAGAGCTGCTATTACCTAGTGCTGTTATTACCTAATGTTATTACCTAGCGCTGTTATTAGTGTTATTACCTAGTGCTGTTATTACCTAGTGCTGCTATTACTTAGTGCTGCTATTACCTACTGCTGGTTAGCAACTTTTTCCACCATCTCGCCTTCAAGGTGACAGTGGGAAGAGTCAGCTGGCTGTTATCACCATGGAGAAAAACAGTTCAAATTGGCCTTCGGAGACCCGATTTTTATAGTCTGTAAAAGATCTGCTGGAAAAATACCAGTTGAACTCGCAGCAAGTACAGAAAAAAACCATTACTTTACCATCTGGCGTAACAGGAAAACATAGTTAGGTCTTGTACCAGCCTTGTGAAATGTTGATATGTGGATCAGTGTAGTAGTAATAATAATAATAATATAATTAATAATTATTATATTATTATTATTTCTACATGTACATGTACAAGGTATACAGGCCTAGTTGACATCAATGACATATTACTAAATAGAAAGCCCCTTGTTCTGCAGAGTATTTCGGGCAAATTAGGTTAGTTTTATCCCCAGGATGCGACCCACATCAGTCGATTAACACCCGGATACCTATTTTACTGATGGATGAGCAGGGACAGCAGGTGTCTTAAGGAAACACGTCCTACTGTTTCCACCCGTATCGAGGATCGACCCCCGGACCTCAGTGTGAGTGCACTATTTAGTTCATCTAGTTATGTTAGTGGATTTGTGTTACATATTATTTACAGTGCTTCACAGTAACGTAAACAACTAGCACGGTAAGTACTATTTACCCAATATTCTAATTCAAATATATATTCTATTTTTTTCAGAATTAGAATATCTGAGTCAAATGATATCTAAATTAAGGCAGCATCGTCTCATTAGAACTTATAGAGAATAAAGGTTAATAGAAACAATATGAAGTTCAACGATGAGAAATTTCAATTACTCAGATATGGTAAACATGAGTGGTGGCTAAAGCTCCCGCTTCACACGCGGAGGGCCAGGGTTCGATTCCCGGCGGGTGGAAACATTTCGACACGTTTCCTTACACCTGTTGTCCTGTTCACCTAGCAGCAAATAGGTACCTGGGTGTTAGTCGACTGGTGTGGGTCGCATCCTGGGGGACAAGATTAAGGACCCCAATGGAAATAAGTTAGACAGTCCTCGATGACGCACTGACTTTCTTGGGTTATCCTGGGTGGCTAACCCTCCGGGGTTAAAAATCCGAACGAAATCTTACAAAACAAATTCTGGCCACAAAATAGAGCGAAACACCAACGTCAAAGACCTGGGAGTGATCATGTCGGAGGATCTCACCTTCAAGGACCATAACATTGCATCAATCGCATCTGCTAGAAAAATGACAGGATGGATAATGAGAACCTTCAAAACTAGGGAGGCCAAGCCCATGATGACACTCTTCAGGTCACTTGTTCTATCTAGGCTGGAATATTGCTGCACACTAACAGCACCTTTCAAGGCAGGTGAAATTGCTGACCTAGAAAATGTACAGAGAACTTTCACGGCGCGCATAACGGAGATAAAACACCTCAATTATTGGGAGCGCTTGAGGTTCCTAAACCTGTATTCCCTGGAACGCAGGAGGGAGAGATACATGATTATATACACCTGGAAAATCCTAGAGGGACTAGTACCGAACTTGCACACGAAAATCACTCACTACGAAAGCAAAAGACTTGGCAGACGATGCACCATCCCCCCAATGAAAAGCAGGGGTGTCACTAGCACGTTAAGAGACCATACAATAAGTGTCAGGGGCCCGAGACTGTTCAACTGCCTCCCAGCACACATAAGGGGGATTACCAACAGACCCCTGGCAGTCTTCAAGCTGGCACTGGACAAGCACCTAAAGTCAGTTCCGGATCAGCCGGGCTGTGGCTCGTACGTTGGTTTGCGTGCAGCCAGCAGCAACAGCCTGGTTGATCAGGCTCTGATCCACCGGGAGGCCTGGTCGTGGACCGGGCCGGGGGGGCGTTGATCCCCGGAATGCCATCGAGATATGCGTCAAGTATAGAATTGTTGAATTTAACTCTCAGAACTTGTCATTAAAGTGAGGTCGTCATTCCCCGTGACACCAAGTACATATATGTGGCATGACCTGGCCTACCAGCACCGGTACCCTAGGCCTAGTGAACTTAGTGGAGGATACCTGGCTATCTTTAAGATGTAGCATGAAAGACACTTGCCTGGAGAATGAATATTAGTGACCCAGCAGTCGCTGGGTCACTAATATTCAGCTGCCTGGCTTTCACATACAACCTGCCTTGTCTGCAGCAGTACGCAGACTATATTTAACATCTCTGTTATGACGCTTACCTGGAACAGTGAGGAAGATACACATGTAACACTTATGTATCTTTATTGTCGAAATGTTTCGCCTACGCAGCAGACTTCTTAATTCGAATACAAGCGATTATAACACTGGAAATATTAGAAGTGGAGAGAGAATTCTGAGGTGATCAGTAGTTCAGCCTTGTTAGGTGACCTGGGACATGTGTTAGACTAGAAATGAGGTGTAGCATTTGAAGATTGCGACACAAGTGAGCGGGGCCTCCTAGTGGAAGTAGATGATGCTAAACAAATGTTAGAAGTAGAGTTGAAGACCTCTGTACCATGATGACATTATTGTTGTGTCAGACAGGTGTCATATTTTCTATGGTGTACAATATCGACAAGTTGATGATGGATAAGGCACATGTGCAGCACTTAGATATCTTCATGGTCGAAACGTTTCGCCTGTCAGAGGCTTCAGTAGAAAACAAGTGATTGTAACATAGAAAACAGTAGAAGTGGAGAGGTAATTTTGAGGTGGTTAGTCCCTCAGCCTTGATAGGTGGTCAGTCTCTTAGGCAAAGGAAGAGACAAAAGGCCATACTGGAGCTAGAAGTGTAGTGTAGCAGCTGGAGACGACCTTAGAAGTGAGTGAAGCCCACTAGTGAAGCAGATCATACTAAACAGTTGTTAGCAGTACACCTAGAAAAGGGAATGACCACCTCGAGGCTTCTTTTTAATGTTTCCAGTGATACAGTTGTCTATATTCGACTGAAGAAGTCTGCTGTACAGGCGAAACCTTTTGTCAGTAAAGATACCTAAGTATCATGTTGAAAATGGTATAAAATACCGACAAGTTGAAGATTAAGACACATGTGCAACAGTTGGGTGTCTTTATTGATGAAACGTTTCGCCTACACAGTAGCCTTCTTCAGTCAAATACAGACTGAAGAAGCCATCAACCTTGGATTATTATTATTATTACAATCAAGGGGGAAGCGCTAAACCCGGAGGATTATACAGCGCCTGGGGGGGATGTGGAAGGCATTCAGGCTTAATTTGGGGAACTGGAGCACAGATCCAATTCCCTAAATCAAGAGCCCCTCACCAACATCAAGGAACCTTCCTTGAGGGGACATCAACCTTGGAGAAAAATTATTTGGGTTGATCGGTCCCTCAGCCTGGAGAAGAGTTCAGCTTCATGGAGCTGAGCTCTTGCCCTAATGAACTAATGCCCTGTTTCTCCTTTCTGCCTCTTGACGTCTTTGTGCCCTCTCTTTCTCATATGCTCTCGTTCCTTTCTTGTTCTGGTCTGGTCGAGGTATATCTGGCGATATTTTTCAGTGTCCCTTAACTGTGGTTTCCGCTGCATGATCTTGTCTCGTACCATTTCTGTCGTGAGGGTTAATTTGATTGGGCGACTTTTCTTCCCTCGAGTACTTCCCAAGTCTGAAAATTTGTCACCTGGGACATACTCTCCCTGCCCAATATTGTAATACCATTAGTTTCCGTTTTCTCTGCCTGTCGTGTATGTGTAGGCTTGGTGTTATTAGTTGACTGTAGTAAGGTTCCCTAGGGTCTTCAGAGTCCTCGGCAGGGGGCGTCAGTGGCGCCATCTAGTGAAGCGATTCTTTCACTTTGTTTCGTCGTGCGTCTTCTTTCTTCATTATTCTTGTGGTTTTCTATTCGATTTTTTATTCGTGGGAAGTATCTTCCTCCTGACTAGACCCACACCAAGTAAACATGACCCGCACTGGCTGGTGATAAGATTGCTGCTGCCTTAAGTCTCCAAGCAGAATTCTTTGTCTAGTATTTTGGCCTTTAACTGTGTTTATTTAACCACTTGTTACCTCCCAGCCCTCAGTTCGTGTTTTGGTCGCCCATGGAGCTGGACGGGAACGAAACCTAGTACCAAACTGCACGTATCGTAAAGAAGGACAATATGCCTGGAGATGCTGCTGCATCTCCAGGCATATTGTCCTTGCTGTTTTACTAACCTGGATGAATGTATCATTAGAAGCCTACGAAACTTAGACTGTTCGGCCGAGAAATAAACTTCAAGATCCTGGTCATTAACAATACCGTAAGAGGAGGCGGCTTATGACTTACTTGGGATACGAAGTGTACTTTTATCAAGACAGACAAGTAGTGATGTTTATCACCTGTAGCAAAACTAAAATACATAAGATTCCAGTTATAAGTAAGATTGTCTTGTGAGTGTACCTCTGGTTCGGGATTTTTTTTATAAAATAGCATTGCTTGGTCCTTTTGGTTTCATTCAGGTCTTGATAAAATTAAAACTCAAAGCATTTGATCCTCTTTCCTTTTATTATTTCTTTTTTTTTCATTCTTTCCTATAAGAAAACGCCAACAGCTCTTTCTCTCCTTAGTTATCACCTATCTCTTTTCAGACTATTTATCCATACATTTTGTGTCTTCCGAGACTGTTGTCTGTCTTCGACTATTGGTATAGCACAAATCTGCATGTATAAAAACTATTTACAAATCCATCTGAATTAAGAAACTAGGGTGACTTTATGGACACTCAAAAAAAACTATAAGATTCTCCTGTGTGTGGACAAAAACGGACCCGAGTCATGCGTGCTGTGGGAACTGATGACAAGCGGTACTTCTTGTACTGTATTTCGTTAACTGCTAAACTCGTGTGGTTAGCTGAAGGGAGTTACTCCGTACGGCAATCTCTACCTGGTTTCGTCCAGTGAAGCTAGGGAAATAGATCTAGTCTGAAACCCCGAATAAAAGCAGTGCTAAACGAACTTTCGTAGTGAGTTCTAGGAGGCTGATTTTTTTTTTACTTCAAGGTCCTGATTTTCCGTAAACAGATTTTTCTTCGTATCGTTCATTTAACTAGCATGTGTTTCTCAGTGACTTTTTGCGTTTTTAATATGTTTATTATGCACCCCATACCCATCCTGTGGGCGGTAGTCAAAGGATTACAGAGATAAATAATGGGTCCAGAGACTGGACCCATTATGTATCTGAACAAGGTACAAAGGTAATGAACTCCAGGACCTTCCTGAGCTGTGAGGAATCTCTCATGGGTTGAATAGACATTTTGAGAATGATTAAAACAAGGTCCAGCAAATTCACTGGAATTTCTAAAAAGTTTTGCTTTATAAATGCGCAGAAAAACCCTAGAATGCATAGAATATCTATGGGAAAATTATTTAATATAAAAACAAAAAAAAGATGTCTTGCAGACTCATAAAGACTTCAGAATAAGTTCAGCAACTTGGAGACCGACTCTTGGAGTTCATGGGATGGGTACATATTTGTCTCCTAATGGATTGTACAACCAGGGGAAGTACGGAGGCTGCTCAGAAATACAGGATGCCATATAAAGAGCATCTGTATTCACAGGCAAGTTACTTTCCGGCCCGAATTTGAAGGTAGTTGGGTTAGGGCAGTTCGTAGGAGTGTCGCTGCAGCCGAACTCAGGAAGTGAGGTGAGCTGGCTCAGAGGCACCGGGTTCTTCATCCAGGCCAAGACGCGGTCAAGGGCCACAACGTATACATCGTCCTTCTCCGACAGCCACTCCAAGAACCTGTTGGGCACGAGGTTCTTGCATTAAGACTGTGAACGAAGGAAAGGGCCAAGCAAGCAAGCAAGCACACACACACACACACACACACACACTGCTGATCAAAAATCGCTGGAATTTTGATGAGCTGGAGAGAGAAGATAGCGGAGAAGAAAGTGATTACATAGTGGGAACACTTCACTCTGGAGGTCCCAAGGTGGTAATAGCAGTGATGTATAACCCACCACAGAACAGCAGGAGGCCAAGGCAAGAGTACGACGAGAGCAATAGAGCGATGGTTGACACACTAGCTAGAGTGGCCAGAAGAGCTCATGCATGCAGGGCAAAGCTCCTGATCATGGGTGACTTTAACCACAAGGAGATAGATTGGGAGAACTTGGACCCACATGGGGCCAAGATACTTGGAGGGCTAAGATGATGGAGGGGTACTGGAGAACTTCATGTACCAACACTAAGGGACACTACAAGAGAGAGAGGAGAGGATGAACCAGCAAGGCTGGACTTAGTATTCACCTTCAGTAGTGCAGATATCGAGGACATCACATATGAAAGACCCCTTGGGGCCAGTGACCATGTGGTTGTAAGCTTCGAATACACAGTAGAGCTACAAGTGGAGGAAGCAGGAAGGCCAGGACGAATGAAGCCAAACTACAAGAAAGGGGACTACACAGGAATGAGGAACTACCTGAACGGGGTTCAGTGGGACAGAGAACTGGCAGGGAAACCAGTTAATGAGATGATGGAATATGTAGCAATAAAATGCAAGGAGGCTGAGGAGAGGTTTGTACCCAAGGGTAACAGGAGTAATGAAAAAGCCAGGATGAGCCCATGGTTTACCCAAAGGTGCAGGGAGCAAAAACCAAGTGTGCTAGGGAATGGAAGAAATATAGAAGGCAAAGGACCCAGGAGAATAAGGAGAACAGTCGTAGAGCCAGAAATGAATATGCACAGATAAGAAGGGAGGCCCAAAGACAATATGAAAATGACATAGCAGCGAAAGCCAAATCTGACCCGAAACTGTTTGTACAGCCACATCAGGAGGAAAACAACAGTCAAGGGCCAGTAATCAGGCTAAGGAAGGAAGGAGGAGAGACAACAGGAAATGACCGGGAAGTATGTGAAGAACTCAACAAGAGATTCAAAGAAGTGTTCACAGAGGAGACAGAAGGGACTCCAGAAAGACGGAGAGGTGGGGCGCACCACCAAGTGCTGGACACAGTGCACACAACCGAGGAAGAAGTGAAGAGGCTTCTGAGTGAGCTAGATACCTCAAAGGCAATGGGGCCAGATAACATCTCCCCATGGGTATTGAGAGAGGGAGCAGAGGGGCTATGTGTACCCCTAACAACAATATTCAATACATCTATCGAAACAGGGAGATTGCCTGAGGCATGAAGACAGCAAATGTAGTCCCAATCTTTAAAAAAGGAGACAGACATGAAGCATTAAACTACAGACCATGTCACTGACATGTATAGTATGCAAAATCATGGAGAAGATTATCAGGAGAAGAGTGGTGGAACACCTAGAAAGGAATGATCTCATCAACAGCAGCCAGCATGGTTTCAGGGACGGGAAATCCTGTGTCACAAACCTACTGGAGTTCTATGACATGGTGACAGCAGTAAGACAAGAGAGAGAGGGGTGGTGGATTGCATTTTCTTGGACTGCAAGAAGGCTTTTTACACAGTTCCACACAAGAGATTGGTGCAAAAACTGGAGGACCAAGCAGGGATAACAGGGAAGGCACTACAATGGATCAGGGAATACTTGTCAGGAAGACAGCAGCGAGTCATGGTACGTTGCGAGGTGTCAGAGTGGCACCTGTGACCAGCGGGGTCCCGCAGGGGTCAGTCCTAGGACCAGTGCTGTTTCTGGTATTTGTGAACGACATGACGGAAGGAATAGACTCTGAGGTGTCCCTGTTTGCAGATGACGTGAAGTTGATGAGAAGAATACACTCGATCGAAGACCAGGCAGAACTACAAAGGGATCTGGACAGGCTGCAGAACTGGTCCAGCAATTTGGGTCCTGGAGTTCAATCCCACCAAGTGCAAAGTCATGAAGATTGGGGAAGGGCAAAGAAGGCCGCAAACGGAGTACAGTCTAGGGGGTCAGAGACTACAAACCTCACTCAAGGAAAAGATCTTGGGGTGAGTATAACACCAGGCACATCTCCTGAAGCGCACATCAACCAAATAACTGCTGCAGCATATGGGCGCCTAGCAAACCTCAGAACAGCATTCCGACATCTTAATAAGGAATCGTTCAGGACCCTGTACACCGTATACGTTAGGCCCATATTGGAGTATGCGGCACCAGTTTGGAACCCACACCTAGCCAAGCACGAAAAAGAAACTAGAGAAAGTGCAAAGGTTTGCAACAAGACTAGTCCCAGAGCTAAGAGGTATGTCCTACGAGGAGAGGTTAAGGGAAATCAACCTGACGACACTGGAGGACAGGAGAGATAGGGGGGACATGATAACGACATACAAAATACTGAGAGGAATTGACAAGGTGGACAAAAACAGATGTTCCAGAGATTGGACACAGTAACAAGGGGACACAGTTGGAAGCTAAAGACACAGATGAATCACAGGGATGTTAGGAAGTATTTCTTCAGCCACAGAGTAGTCAGTAAGTGGAATAGTTTGGGAAGCGATGTAGTGGAGGCAGGATCCATACATAGCTTTAAGCAGAGGTACGATAAAGCTCACGGCTCAGGGAGAGTGACCTAGTAGCGATCAGTGAAGAGGCGGGGCCAGGAGCTCGGACTCGACCCCCGCAACCTCAACTAGGTGAGTACAACTAGGTGAGTACACACACACACACACACACACACACACACACACACACACACACATACACACACACACACTGAGCAACCAAATAACTGCTGCAGTATATGGACGACTAGCGAACCTAAGAATAGCATTCCGGGATCTCAGTAAGGAGTCCTTCCGGACCCTGTACACCGTGTACTTCTGGCCCATATTGGAGTATTTAGCTCCAGTTTGGAACCCTCACCTGGCTAAGCACGTCAGGAAACTAGAGAAAGTGCAGAGGTTTGCAACGAGACTAGTCCCGGAGCTACGGAGCATGTCCTACGAGGAGAGGAGGAACAAAGGGGGACATGGTAACGACATAAAATGCTGAGAAGAATCGACAAAGTGGACAGAGACAGGATGTTCCAGAGATGGGACACAACAACAAGGGTCACAATTGGAAGCCGAAGGCTCAGATGAGTCACAGGGATGTTAGAAAGTATATCTTCAGTCATAGAGTTATCAGGAAGTGGAACAATCTGGAAAAGTGAGGTAGTGGAGGCAGGTACCACACATAGCTTTAAGAAGAGGTATGATAAAGCTCAAGGAGCAAGGAGACAATGGACCTAGTAGCGACCAGTGAAGAGGCGGGGCCAGGAGCTGTGAATCGACCCCTGCAACCACAACTAGGTGAGCACACACACACACCAACTAATTGGCATTATAGGTTCCTTACACTCAAGAAAATTAAGTACAGAAATAGAAATATGGGATAGTCACTCAACATCAGTACAGCCTAATGTATAAAACTGAGGGCAGATACTGAGGAAGGATGGAAACCGAATGGAGAACTGTTATAAGGAATAGAAGACATTATCCAGGGGTCAGAGCATGAAGGAAGTGATCAGGGTAACCAGAGATAAGGTAGGATAGAGGAAGATAATTCTAAAAGGAGATAAAGCTGAGGAGTCAGGAGGAAGAGAGAGAATAATCTTGGTTTTAAAGCCTTGACGAACTTGAAGAGAGTATAGCCAGATGAAACATGATCACCACATACAAAGTACTCTGGGATTTAGACAAGGTAGCGTTATTCAGACTAATGAACATGGAGCGGGCCTGAACAGAGAGGAAGTTCAACTCCGAGGCGTGTCACATAGTGTAAAGTCTTCCTCCAGTGTCACTCAGGTGTGTCACATAGTGTAGTCTTCCTCCAGTGTCACTCAGCTGTGTCACATAGTGTAGAGTCTTCCTCCACTGTCACTCAGGTGTGTCACATAGTGTAGAGTCTTCCTCCAGTGTTACTCAGGTGTCACACAGTGTAGAGTCTTCCTCCAGTCTTACTCAGGTGTGTCACATAGTGTAGAGTCTTCCTCCAGTGTTACTCAGGTGTGTCACACAGTGTAGTCTTCCTCCAGTCTTACTCAGGTGTGTCGCACAGTGTAGAATCTTCCTCCAGTCTTACTCAGGTGTGTCACACAGTGTAGAGTCTTCCTCCAGTCTCACTTAGGTGTGTCACACAGTGTAGAGTCTTCCTCCAGTCTCACTCAGGTGTGTCACACAGTGTAGTCTTCCTCCAGTCTCACTCAGGTGTATCACACAGCGTAGTCTTCCTCCAGTCTTACTCAGGTGTGTCACACGCTGTAGAGTCTTCCTCCAGTCCTAGGGTATTAATCTATATTGTTATTATTTTAATGGGAAAGCTCTAAACACGCACGTGTCATATAGCGCTTGATTAAAGGGACAACCTTAATTCCTTGGATCAAGAGCCCTTTTCTAAGATGAAGGCACTCCTTCCTCCCTTGAAGTAGACAAGAGTGAACTAGAGAAACACACTGTAGACTTTAGACCCAATCCAGGATTTAAAAAGAAAAATTAGATCACGTCAATCCCCAGAAAGAGAAGAAAGTCCAAGAGCTAGAGGTCAACTGGTGCGCCACTGCTATCATAAGGCTGTAAACGGCACATCACTTGTACACACTCCGACACTCCTTCGGGAGCCACTGCCGGGTCATGAAGACCCAGGCCAGGACCCGTCCTGGCAAGCCTACATGAACATGGTGCACCACTCACCTGGTGAGGCCGACGGTCCTGGCGTCTGAACCCTCATTGAACCAGGTCTGGTGCATGTATATACCCATCGGAGCCTTGTTGGAATAGTAGTTACTGTTGAAGTTGTTGATGAAAGAACTGTTCCACCGCGTTGGCGTCAGTCAGGAGCTCGTCTGTCACGCTGAGGCAGGAGACAGTGTCAGCAGCTAAACTCAGAGTGTAATCATTTAATAAGTCACTTAGTCTGACGTATCTTGGGTTATCCTAGATGATTTACATATATGTTATTATGCAGTTAGATCACTGTGAACAGGTGATATCACAATATGCAAAAATAACCAGTGAAAAAATTAATGAGATTCCTAGCGCTTTCGTGGTTTCTCACAGTATTCCTCGATAATGTGAGAAATCGCGAAAGCACTTGGAATTTCACTATTTTTTCACTGTGGTTATTTTGAATATGTTACTATGTATGGTGATTGTGTAACTGTACCTAAGTAAACTTACTCTCAAGAGTAAGCGCGGGACCGAATCTCTATCTAGCTCATTCCAGTTGTGACCGGGTGTGGAAGTGTGAATTGTTCATTACTCTATAATTTGTTCATGATTGTACCCATGTATAAACGTAAGTAACCATTCTTACAGGATTCATTACCTTTGTAACGTGTGACTTCATTACCTTTGTACTAGTTCAGCTATCAAAGTTTTGATAGCCCAGTCCTGGACCCATTACGTACCTCTGTAATCTGTAAATACCTTTGTAATTTGTCATGATTGTGACTAGACCTACCTGGAGTTCATTACCTTTGTAAATTGTGAGTTCATTACCTTTGTAAATTGTGAGTTCATTACCTTTGTAAATTGTGAGTTCATTACCTTTGTAAATTGTGAGTTCATTACCTCTGTAACTTGCTCAGCTATCAAAACTTTGGAGTCCAGTCCCTGGACAATTATGTACCTCTGTAATCTTTTGACTACCGCCCACAGGATGGGTATGGGGTGCATAATAAACATATTAAACTATCTAGCTGTACTCGAGAGGAAAGAGAAAGCGACATGAAGTGTGGATAAGGGAAAAGGAAGAGTGGAAGGAAGAGAAAGGCGAGGATATAATCTGAAGGTTCAGGCATTCACTCCTAGCAATGGGTCAGGTCAAATTAGAAGAGGTCAGATGAGGTGAAACAAAAGCCATATGAAATAAGACCAAGTGATATTTAAAGAAAAAATACATTTTTTAAGTAGAAAAGAATAAAAAGGTACAATGCCGTGAATGGAACAATACACACAAAAAAAAAAACCCGTTTTGGACCGACTTGGTCCAAGTCGGTCCAAAACGTCGTCGTAAACTTATCTTTCCCATGTGCGTTTTTTTGTGTGAATTTTTATGTAGATCTAATAAAATTAGGAAAAGTGAATGGGGTAAAAAAAAAAGATATTATTATTGAAGGGTTACATTAGTGCTACGAAAAATGTAATTAGGTGTAGCTCAATTTTCGACAGGAAAAAGAATAACTAGAATTGAAATAAATCAAATTGGGGTTAAAAAATAAATAAACGAGGCAAAATAAGTAAAATTTAGAAATAAAAAAGAGAGGTCAAACATGGAATTGAAAAAGTGGAATGAAAAGGAACTTGTAAAAGAGAGCTGACAACAGAAATTTAGAAAATGGGCTGAATAATTAAAAAATGGAGAAAGGGGGGACTGAAAACAAGAATTGGAGGAGAGAGAACTAAAAATAAGAGTTAAGGAACAAAGCTGAAAATTGGAATTGAAGGAAAAAAAAAAGTAAAAGGAGGACTACCTCTGACAGCCGTCGAGCATAGCACAGGGCTGACCGATGTCATCCATGAGGTCAAGCATGGGCATCACCCACGTCCCAGGGTATAATTAGTGGGGCAGCGTCCTACGAAGCACTCCTAAGAAAAACGACAAGTTTGGATCTTTAGTTTTAAGACGTACTCCTGCGAAGAGGAGAAGGCAAGGTGATGTGAGGTATGGGAAAAGGAGGAGGAAGACAATGGAAATAAAGATCAAAAAATGTACAGTACCGTGACACATAAGCAGTACACAGAAGAGAAAAGCTTTTAATGACGGAACGTCGTCAGAAACTTGTCTCTCGTATGTGCGGGTTATGTGTATTGGAAATGTCTTAATCTTTGTACTTTTGACGTTATACCTTTGAAAATTCTTTGCAATTAAGCATCACTGAAAGAAATAAGAAGCAGCACGCCAACATCACATGTAAAATGAGACTGAAACTGAAGCATAAAGCTTCTTTCAGGAGGAACAGGAAGAGGAGGAACCATTTCATACATAAACTATTGCATGCCTCGTTGCTAGTATGTGCAGGCTGAAGTCTATGGAAAGCCTGCATGATCTGAGACAAGACACTCTTCCCTCGGTCCTTAATACTCACTTGGAAGCTAGGGTAGTCTAGGGTGTAGGGCCATAGAGCTCCCAGAGGAGGACTGCCGTACCAGCTGGTGTACAACATGGAGGGCCACGAGCAGTCGTACTGCAGGCTGAGGTCGTGAACGGCGCCGTACATGTCGTCTCCTCCAACTTCAAGGAACGGAGCGCGAATGCCCTGGAGAGGATGTTATGGTGATGAGGTTATGGTTGCTATTTATTTATTTATTTATTTATTTGAACATGATACAGTGAAGTACAAAGGAATACAGGTATTACAGTGCAACATGCCAAAGCCCCTTGTATGCAAAGCATTATGGGCAGGCTTAAGATTAACTAAGCAATGATATATTCAGTGGTAAAAACATTATTGTAAACAAATAACAATTTAGCACAAATGAGTATTACAAAGACAGGTCATATGGTCATTTGCTGTGTTGCTGAGCATTCAGTAGAATGGAGTATTCTGTTAGGTAATGTAATTAAAAAATAGTTTGATTGGGTCACAGGTTAGACATTTATGAGATACAGTAATGAGAAACATTTACGAGATACAATTTATGAGATACAATTATTCAGTATTTATTTAGTTGTGGGTAAGTGATTTTTGAGAAGAGACTTGAATTTATAAACAGACAGTGTTTCTTTTATATTCACAGGTAATGAATTCCAGATTTTAGGGCCTTTTATGTGCATTGAGTTTTTGCATAGCGTGAGATGGACTCGAGGAACATCAAAGAGTGATCTGTGCCTTGTGTTATGGTCGTGTGTTCTGTTGAGGTTGGTAAGGAGACGTTTGACGGGAGGGTTTATATCAGAATTAAGTGTTCTATGAATGTAGTAGGTGCAGTAATAAGTATGGATGTTTTGAATGGTGAGTAGGTTTAGAGTTTTGAATATTGGTGGAGTGTGCTGCCTCTAGTGGGAATTTGTTATCATTCTGACTGCTGTTACTGTTACTTTACGTTGCTTGCTCTCTTTCTCACTCATCTTTCTCTCTTTCTTACCTTAATGTCATCTCTAGGAATGAGGGCAAATGTTTCGAGTATTGTCCTCATGTCGTCCATTTCTTGCTGCCACACAGACTGGTTAGCTACCCTCCAGTAACCCTCCTGATCATTCTTATGCCTGGCGGAGAAACAGACAACAGTGGGTGAGGGAGAGGCTTTAATTAAAATAACGTTTTTTTTTATTGGTTAACGTTATGGTCACCATCTTTTATTTTCTTGTTTTAGAGTAAGCAAAAGAGGAACAGGATTTATCTGAGGCGACTGATGCTTTGCATATTAATTATAAACTATAGGTTTTAAATATGACAGCTATACTAATAGTGGACTCCACTGTAGACACCTCAATATTAAAAGTCACTGAGAGGGACTACCTGCAGTGCTTGTCAAAAATTATAATTTTTTTTAATTTTCTCACCCCTCAAGGGAGGTTCCATGATGCCTGTGATGGACTCTTGATCCAAGGAACTGGACTTGCCCTCCCCTTCCTTGCATCTAACTTCATTGCCTCTCATTGCCCAGACGCTCTATGACCCCTACAGGTTTAACGTGTTCCCTAAATATAATGTAGCGATACCTTGCTAATGTCTTCTCCGAAAGGCTTCAAACTTTAAACACAAATGCATATTAAGGAAGTTTTTTTTACCTATAGGTTATGTAAACTTCGTGTAAATTTAATAATTTACAAACATAATTTAAAATGTGAGAATAAATTATTTTTTTTTCGATTGTTATTGGGATGTGTAAGTCTCATTTTCTTCATTTTATATAAGTAATTGGGCTAATTTTTGTACGATAACTGGAGAATGCCTCTTGCGGTAGGTTTAAAACTCCTAACACTGGTTATCGTATTTAGTGGATCAGTCTGGTTGATTTCAACTCTGTTCGTTCTAATTTATCAATTTCATTGTTCAAACTGTGATGCTAAGGTTTCGTTTGATTAATTGGGCCTGTTTTTCATATCGGCTTGAGACTTTCAACTTGGATGTATCTCACCTGAAGAAAGACTTCCATTTATATTGGCATTTTAAGGTTAGGTTAGGTTAGGTAAAGTTAGGTTAGGTTACGTTAGGTTAGGTAAAGTTTGTTAGGAAACAGGACAAGTGCTTCCTGAGCGGGACTTAGTGATGACCAGCAGCCTAAAGTTTTGGTCATCTGACCGAGGCCTTCTCCCGGCTTACGGTTATGATTATAACTGTTAGGAATATTCATTTTAGGTTCCAATTTGTCAGTTTTACTACAAACGTTGAATTATCATGCTTATCCTTCAGAGGCACTTATTTAAACTTTTCAACATTTCTAAATAAATAAATACAGTTTTCTTATAAGATAATAGAGCATAAAAAAACAAATATAACTACGAAAAAAATTGTGAAACTTACCATTTTAGAGGATGCTGAAATTTTTACATATAATAAAAGATTTCCCTTTTCTTTGAATTTTACGAATTATTAGTGAATAAATATTCTCTGTGACTAGGCACATTATTATTATTATAATCAAGGGGGAAGCGCTAAACCCGGAGGATTATACAGCGCCTGGGGGGGGATGTGGAAGGCATTCAGGCTTAATTCGGGGAACTGGAGCACAGATCCAATTCCCTAAATCAAGAGCCCCTCACCAACATCAAGGAACCTTCCTTGAGGGAATGACTAGGCACAGCGTTTGATTTTAACTCTTAGGTCTTTTAAAGCGAATTGATTTGTAAGTCTTCTGTATCTCTGGACTCCAAGCCACCGAAACAAGATTAGTTTTTATTGTGATTGGAACAAGGCGGCAACCCGTAGGGGCGAGAGAATATGTCGGTGTATTGTTTAACTAGGCTGCCTTCAGCAGGTGGTCGTTGTTTCCCCATATAGGCCCAGCTACTCGGAAACAAGCTAGCATTCTAAATAGGTTAACAACAGCAACCTCTGGAGAGATAAATCTGTTTCCTCGAGCAAAAGCTTATTATGATTTTTGAAAAATAACTATGCCTTGGGCAGTGTTTGAATATAACTGAAGACAAACTAATATTACTTTTGTCAAAAAGTACAGTAAGTGGAAAGGGAGACGTATCTGTATATTATTATGATTGCAAATTATTTTGAAGTTTATTGAACTATTCATGGTTTTTGGTATAAATTCGATAGGGCACATCCAGTCACGATACACGCTAATAAATATTGTACTAATGTGTTTAGCGGGAGTAAGAGGACTTACGTTACTGAGTGGAGAGCGATCTCATGACCAAGACGGTGAAGCTCATTCACCATGTCGTAGGAACAGTAGAGGTGGGTGACGAAGAAGGTCATGGACATGCGACAGTTGTTGGGGTTAACGAAGTCCTTGAAGGACAGGTAAAAGTCATAGTTGATGTAGTTGACAGCATCGTCGAAGGTGAGTACAACGAACTGTGGCAGCTGATCCACGGGGATGTTGCGTGGGTTGTTGGTAGAGGCGCATACACAGTTAGGCAAGAAGCAGTTTACTTCCTGTTGGCAAGTATCAGCCTCGACCTTGGCTCCTAGCTGTTGTAAAAGACAGTTGTTACTGCATTGTGATGCTAGACAAGTCCTCGCTTCTGTATTTGTGGCAGTGTCGCCATTTTGCATTTTTTTTCAAGTATCGACTAAATGATAATTATGGGGGGCGCATAACAAAGGCAATCAAATCAAAAGTATATCCAGACATGAAAAGGATAAACTTACCGAAACAGCCAGCAGCACCACCACTAAACACCAGCAACACTTCATTGTCCTACTTCAGACACTCACGTCTGGATCACAAGGCAACCCTCACCACATTTTATACCACTACCAGAAAAATTCTGTCGCAGCTGTTCAATTATTTTTTTTTTTTTGTAAATGTCATATCTTATCACTTTTTTTTCAAGAGAAAAATAGTTTTGTTATTTTCGTCCTTGAAATGCAAAACAAATTAATCACAGTAATGATGAACTAAGACAGCCAAAATACGTCACTCCTGTCATGGCTGACCTCACTTATCTCAGAAGTAAACAAAAATTATTTTATTTCAGATTTGTTCACGTCCACTTTGCCAGCTCTCGTAACAACGCCATTACTGAAACCAAGAGAGTAACGCTAATCTTTCTATCAAGATATAAATATTTCTGTTGGTTCTAAATTGTAAAATGGACGACTTAAATTCAGTGTTTTGTATCACCACAATGAATATTATATTGTGAAGGTGAATTAACGTGAGAAACACCTGTTGTGTCACCCTCGGTGATGCCACTTTTCTCACTGGTGATTTTCCAGTGAGTTTAGTGTTTTTTTTTTATATTATTTAGCTGATAAATGAGACACGTGTGCAACATTTGGGTATCTTTATTCTGGAAACGTTTCACCATGCAGTGGCTTCTTCAGTCCAGTGCAGAGAAAGGTGGAAGATGAGGAGGTAATCGGTCCCTCAGCCTTTCAATCCAGATGGACTGAACACATCGACTTTAGCCTGAGGGACTGATTACCTCAAACTCCTCCTCATCTTCCACCTTTCTCGGCATTGGACTGAAGAAGCCACTGCTTGGCGGAACGTTTCCAGAATAAAGATACCTAAATGTTGCACAAGTGTCTCATTTATCATTTTGTAAACTGTTTAGTCACATATTAAGTCTCCCCTTCAATTGGCTGCCGGATTTCTTCCAGTTTACCTTTGTTATTTCGCTCAAAAGACTAGAACGCCTTATTCGATCGGCTTCCAATTTTCCACGCTGGTGTACGGTAACTAGGACAAAATTCAAGAAACAGTTAGTATATGCATGTGCTTAATGACCAGAGTTATTGAACCCATTCCCAGCATCCCGGAATGACTCTGCATAACTACCAAAAACTCAGTTTTGTGTGAAGATGCCTCGTAATTCGACGAGGGCGGAGAGTGAAATTCAAGAGTGTAAGACGCGCATCTGTCAATTTTTCTGTTAGAAATAGCGTATTTTTTTTTATTCCCGTTAAGTTATGTTAAATGTATTTGAGTGTATATCTACTGAACGGCCTCAGTATTTAATGACTGCTGTATCTTACTGGTCATGATAGTGCCTATTAAGTTTAGCTGTGTATGGGCAAATTTGTCTTTGCATTATTTTTTTACATAAAACTTGCGATTGCTGGAATCCTTGCAATAACTGAAAAATGCGTCTTCCGATCGACTTCAGATTTTTAGTCCTGGTATTTTTTTTTTCCAGAAAGCAACGTTCACCTTGTAATTAGCCAGTATGGGTCCTAGTTTACCAATGTTATTAAAGAATGATGTTTATTTCCATTCAGTAACTGAACACTGCCACACCAGCTACAAAATATTATTCCATAAGAAGGCAGACACCCCGTCATTGTCAATAAATTTGGAATCGGATGGGGGAAGGGGGGAGAAATTTGGAAAATTTAAATACTGCTTTCTATGAGATAGTAATTTTTGAGTTTTGCTTTCGATGGGCTTCATCCCTTCAGTGCTGGTAACTTGATAATGCAACTTCCGAGCGACTTCAAACTTAATGTGCTGATGTATTTTAGGATATCGGTCTCTCTGAGACAACGAGAGAATGCTTCGTCAGTTTAGCTTCAAAGGTGGTGTTTTGTAGTGGAAGATTTGAATAAGATTTGGGCTGTGCAACTCCTAATTTACCGTTTTTATTGAATAAATTGGGAGATGAGTTTACATGTTATGACCTGTGAATCCCTTTGCTGGTTCACTGTAAATCTTCAAGGCTAATATTTCTTTGCATTGGAAGCTCATCCGCCACTCTGCACTGTTGCAGTCGCGTGCATTGAGGTATAGGAGGAGAAGTAAGGGAGGGAGAAGATAACAGTGCAAGAGAGTGGTAGAGGAACAGTGAAGAAGTGAGAGAGGGGGAAGAGGAGAGCTGTGAGGAAGAAAGAAGGTAACAGAAATCCATAAAAATTCGCTAAATTTTCTGCGTATTCTTCAGGGAGCAGTTGAACTGGTCTAGCTCAATGTTATTTGTGATTAACTTGAACCTTTCTTCCTGCAGTCAGGGCAAAGGACAATGTCGTGCCAATCTTTAAGAAACGGGAGAGACAGGAAGATATAACGGACATGCATATTATTAATGGCAATGGAGAAGAATATGATCTACCCTCCGTTCCTCACATTAAACCTGAACCTCCAGTCCCCCAGGCGCTGCATGAGGACCTTTATACTAGTGTACGCAGTGTACAGACTCCCCTGACCTCCGTACTAGTGTACGCAGTGTACAGACTTCCCTGACCTCCATATTGGTATATCCAATGTACAGACTCCCCTGACCTCCATATTGATATATCCAGTGTACAAACTTCCCTGGCCTCCATACTAGTATATCCAATGTACAGACTTCCCTGACCTCCATGTTGGTATATCCAATGTACAGAGTCCCCTGACCTCCATACTAGTATATCCAATGTACAGACTCCCCTGACCTCCATATTGGTATTTACGATGTACAGACTTCCCTGGCCTCCATACTAGTATATCCAATGTACAGACTTCCCTGGCCTCCATACTAGTATATCCAATGTACAGACTTCCAGGGCCTCCATACTAGTATATACAATGTACAGACTTCCCTGGCCTCCATACTAGTATATACAATGTACAGACTTCCCTGGCCTCCATACTAGTATATACAATGTACAGACTTCCCTGGCCTCCATACTAGTATATACAATGTACAGATTCCCCTGGGGGTACACAAATTTTCAGTATAATAATTATTGTTCATGGCCTCAAACAACTCGCATACAAAAGGACCTTGATGGGCTCCTTGTTGCTTTTATCTGATAAGTTTCGTAAACATGTCCACCCAGGAAAGCGATATTCTAAAGAGTGCAGATAATGGCAGTTCGTAGAGAACACTACGTCACTTAAATATATATTTTTTAAATATTTTCCCCTGAAGCTAAAACCTTGTGTAGGTTTAGGAATAGGTTAGACAAGTACATAAGTGAGTGTGGATGGGTGTGAGGTAGACCTGCTTAGCCGGGGCCAGTAGGCCTGCAGCAGTGCTCCTTCCTTATGTTCTTATGTAACGTCTTCTCAGAATAATATATTAAAAAAATCACCCTAATTGATCATTGTGAGCTCTGGTCCACAGCGAATTTCAATTCCACTCTCTTCTCTGTATGTACGGTCCTTCATATTAACTGACTGTAGCTAGGCAAGATAAAAGTTCTTAGATGCGAAACATAAAGCAGTAACTGGGTATAACCTGTGTAGATCCCGTAACTCAATAAGTAAAAAGGCTGCAGAAGCCATCTGCATGCGATGATAGGTACTGGAGGGCCCTGCTTTACAGAGCCTCGCTTTACGGCGTTTCGCTAATGCAGCAGTTTTCAATTATACCCAATCTTCATTCAGATTTCCTACAATAAATATATTCACCACTTACTATAAACTATGGATGAAAATATTTTAAGGTAAGTAATATGCGTACTATATATGCATTTTTTAGGCCTAGCTCTATTGCTCACTTAATATACGATAGTGTAAACATGTTATCAGACTTTTATATGCATTTGAAAGTGAAAAAAGGCTATGTTTCACTTTACAGTGATTTTTGCTGTATAGCTGTAGCCCGGAACCCAACCTGTCATATAAGCAGGACCCTCCTGTATAACAAAGTTTCGACGATACAGGAAAACTCCCAGGGTGATACACCTTATCGAAGACGGTGTGTCTGTTGTGCTGGTTGCTGGGGCACAGAATACGAAGGCCAACACCTGTCTGATCTACACTGTCTTTACCTACTTGTACTCGCCTGGTTGTACTCGGTTCTACCCACCTAGTTGTATTCGCCTAATTGGACTCGCCTAGTTCCACTCATCTAGTTGGTATTAGGAGTCGAAGCTTGGCTCCTGCCACTGCTTCTTTAAGTGCTCATGGCCGAGTTTTCCTGGTTTCCAGCCACTTGGACTCTATCATACTTATTTATAAAGCTGTGTAGATCCTCTCACACCTGGTCCTCGTTCATTTCACTCCACTAACAGCCTGGTTAATCACGCCCTGATCCACCGAGAGGCCTGATCATGGACCGGGCTGCAGGGGCGTTGATCTCGGGAACAGCCTCCAGGTATACGTCAGGTAACCATCCTGGAGCTAAAGAAACATTTTTAATATATATGTGACACATTTATATCTAGCTTCCTCCTGTGTCCACTTGCACTGTCAACTTTCCTGAATATCTTGTACGTCATGATCATGTTTCCTCTAGTTTTATCCTCCAAGGTCATCAGTTTTCAGTTATTTTACTCTTTCCTCATATGTAGATCCCATTAGCTCTGGTGTGCTGCATATTTTATCACACACACACAAATGCTTTATATATATATATATATATATATATATATAATATATATATATATATATATATATATATATATATATATATATATATATATATATAATATATATATATATATATTGTTGATGCAAAATTTGTATTTAATGATAAGTTTTACACTCAGAAGTTTGGTATGGCAATGGGAAATCCTCTTTCACCTGTTCTTAGTAACCTATACATGGAATTTTTTGAAACAAGGTTGCTTAACACAATCCTCCCTAATAGAGCTAAATGGTTCAGATATGTTGATGATATTTTGTGTCTTATGCCCAAAAATGTAGATATACACCATTTCCTTGGAAAATTAAATAGCTTAGCCCATTCTATAAACTTTACTGTTGAGTTTGAAGAAAATAACTCATTGCCTTTTCTAGATGTTTTAATTATTAAGGGTAATAATGAATTCAAATTTAAAATTTACAGAAAACCTATAAATAACTGTTCCTATGTCCACTATTATTCCTCGCATCAAGATAGAGTCAAACTGTCTGTTTTCTCATCAATGTTTTTGAGAGCTTTACGAATTTGTAATCCTGAGTTCATAGATGAGGAAATATCCAAAATTTATGAAATAGGTAATGATTTAAAATACCCAAGAAATGTAATTGATAAATCTTTTAAAGTTGCTAGAAATACTTTTTACAATCCAAAAAGGGACAACCAGCCTTATTCAACTAAAAATATGTTGGTTCTCCCTTACCATGAAAACTTGGTTGATATGCCTTCTCTTCTTAACACTTTTAATATTAAAGTTGTATTCAAAAATCTTGATACAGTAAAAAAACTTTTGATAAAGAATTCCCCCAAAATGTTGATGGATGTGTCTATAAGATTCCTTGTAAAATTTGCGATAAAGTTTATTACGGTCAAACTGGTAAAAATCTCGAACTAAGATTAAAACAACATAAATATAGCATTAGAACTGGACAAGATTCCAATGCTCTATTTATTCATGTAAGAGATTTTAACCATCCAATTGATTTTCAAAAAGTTGAGAAAGTAGTATCAAGCAAGTCCATGGTCGACAGGAATATAATTGAATCTTGTTTCATAAAAAAAGTTTTGACAATAATATGAATATTTCCTTTGGTTTATATAAATTAGATCCATTTATAATTAATAGAATTTGGGAAGAATTTAATAATACACTGGACAAATAATAATTTTTAAATTTTCTTGGGTAGAATAGTTTGTTGGTGAGTTGTGCAAAGGACCTGTCCAGTTGGGCCGGCGCGCGTCAGGTGTTTAACCGTTGTGGGATCTGATAGTGAGGTGTTGGCCAGACCCCTTATATAGCTTCCTTGGATGCTTTACTTTCATAGTTCCTTGATAATGTGAGTGGTCACGAAAGCGCTTGGAATTTCTCTATTCTTTCAGAGTGGTTGTTTTGCACACACACACACACACACACAACATATATATATATATATATATATATATATATATATATATATATATATATATATATATATATATATATATATATATATAATATATATATATATGTCGTGCCGAATATGTAAAACTGGTCAATTAGCAAGAACTCATTTAAAATTAAGTCCTTTCTAAAATTTTCTCTTATACGTTTAAATATATATTTTTTTTCATTAATGTTGATGTAAAAAATTTATAATTTTGCACCAAAAGGAACTTAGAAAACTTACCTAACCTTATTATAACAAGAACAATTTATTTTAGCCTAACCCAACTAAATATATTTTAGATTTGTTTACAATAATTTAATACTAAACAAACACAGTGAAATATATTTTTTTCGTTAGGTTTTCAGAATGATTTTGGCGAAATTATTGCATACACAAATTTTCACTTGTCCTATATGGCAAGATGAGCGTTGCTATTTAAGCCAAGATCGCAAGTTCTGCCTATTCGGCACGACATATATATATATATATATATATAATATATATATATATATATATATATATATATATATATATATATATAAAAGGGAGTGAGGTAAAGAAGGTGGGAAGTAGAGAAGGACACAGGAAGGGATGGGAGGAAAGAGGTAGAAAGAGAGGAAGACAGAGAAAAAAAAGCAGGAGGGGGGTGAAAAGATGGGGAAACACAGGTGTCATCCAAATTGCAGGTGTTCACCCACTAACAGCTGTTGGTATGTTGGAGCTCTCGTAGCTGTTAGTTGTGTCTTCACACACCACTAGAACCACTGACTACAGCAACACCACAACAACAACGGGACTACAGCACCGCCACCACCACCACCACGACCTAAAGCAACACCTCAACAACCACGACCTACAGCAGCACTACAACCACCACGACCTACAGCAGCACCACAACCACCACGACCTACAGCAGCACTACAACCACCACGACCTACAGCAGCACCACAACCACCACGACCTACAGAAAACCCCTTTCAACAACCACGACCTACAGCAGCACTACAACCGCTACGACCTACAGCAACACCTCAACAACCACGACCTACAGCACACCACAACCCCCCACGACCTACAGCAGCACTACAGCCACCCACGACCTACAGCAGCACACAACAACCCCCACGACCTACAGCAACACCTCAACAACCACGACCTACAGCAGCACTACAACCGCTACGACCTACAGCAACACCTCAACCACCACGACCTACAGCAACACCTCAACCACCACGACCTACAGCAGCACCACAACCACCACGACCTACAGCAGCACCACAACCACCACGACCTACAGCAGCACTAAAAACCGCTACGACCTACAGCAACACCTCAACCACACGACCTACAGCAAACACCTCAACCACCACGACCTACAGCAGCACCACAACCACCACGACCTACAGCAACACCTCAACAACCACGGGACTACAGCAGCACCACGACAACCACCGAAACAGAGAAGTACGTCTTAGTTAGTTAGTTTAATGTTTATTATGCACCCCATACCCATCCTGTGGGCGGTAGTCAAAAGATTACAGAGGTACATAATTGGTCCAGGGACTGGACTCCAAAGTTTTGATAGCTGAGCAAGTTACAGAGGTAATGAATTCACAATTTACAAAGGTAATGAACTCACGAATTACAAAGGTAACGAACTCCAGGTAGGTCTAGTCACAATCATGACAAGCTACAAAGGTATTTACAGATTACAGAGGTACGAAATGGGTCCAGGGACTGGGCCCCAAAGTTTTGATGGCTGAACTAGGTACAAAGGTAATGAACTCACAAGTTACAAAGGTAATGAATACTGTAAGAATGGTTACTTACGTTTATACATGGCTACAATCATGAACAAATTATAGTGTAATGAGCAATTCACACTTCGTGGCTACTTTACATGGTTAGGAGGCACTCTTCTACTTACTCTTCACAGTGCTCACCTATTTGTGGTGGCAGGGGTCGATTCTTAGCTCCTGGCCCCGTGTGTGTGTCATATAATCTTTAACCAAAGTTATTAATAACCTTGTCAGATCCTCTTGATAAGGCGGATAAACAGGCTATGCCACGATATAGTGTGAAATGTATATATTTTTGCGGGGTATTTACGAGGATGAATGGAAGGTGTAAGGGACATCTGAGGAAGGGTTGGAGTTGAGAGTGGAAAGAGGTGTTAAGATGCAGGGGCTTGAACTCCAGCAACCATATCTTAGCCTGTTAAATCGGAATAACAAATATTTTTTTGAGATTTAAAGTGCCGTTGCATAGTGAGCATGGCAGTATCTATGAAAGGATTTTGGGAAACCGGTTAGTCGGATATGAGTTCTGGAGGTGGTAAGTACAGTGCCTGCACTCTCAAGGATGGGTGGGGATGTGGGGGTTCTGGAGGTGGTTTACCTGGAGTTTACCTGGAGAGGATTTCGGGGGTCAACGCCCCCGCGGCTCGGTCTGAAACCAAGCCTCATGATGGATCAGGGTTTGATCAACCAGGCTGTTACTGCTGACCGCACGCAAGCTGACGTACGAACCACAGCCCGGTTGGTCAGGTACTGACTTTACGTGCCTGTCCAGTGCCTTCTTAAAGACAGCCAGGGGTCTATTGGTAATCCCCCTTATGTTTGCTGGGAGGCAGTTGAACAATCTTGGGCCCTGGACACTTATTGTGTTGTCTCGGTATACTCGTGGGGCCCCTGCTTTTCATCGGGGGGAATGTTGCATCTCCTGCCGAGTCTTTTGCTTTCATAGGGAGTGATTTTCGTGTGCAGGTTTGGTACCAATCCCTCCAGGTAAGTACAGTGCCTGCACTCTCAAAGATGGGTGGGGATATGGTGGTTCTGGAGGTGGTAAGTACAGTGCCCGCACTCTCAAAGATGGGTGGGGATGTGGTGGTTCTGGAGGTGATAAGTACAGTGCCTGCACTCTCTAAGATGGGTGGGGATGTGGTGGTTCTGAAGGTGGTAAGTACAGTGCCTGCACTCTCTAAGATGGGTGGGGATGTGGTGGTTCTGAAGGTGGTAAGTACAGTGCCTGCACTCTCAAAGATGGGTGGGGATGTGGTGGTTCTGGAGGTGATAAGTACAGTGCCTGCACTCTCTTAGATGGGTGGGGATGTGGTGGTTCTGGAGGTGGTAAGTACAGTGCCCGCACTCTCAAACATGGGTAGGGATGTGGTGGTTCTGGAGGTGATAAGTACAGTGCCTGCACTCTCTAAGATGGGTGGGGATGTGGTGGTTCTGAAGGTGGTAAGTACAGTGCCTGCACTCTCTAAGATGGGTGGGGATGTGGTGGTTCTGAAGGTGGTAAGTACAGTGCCTGCACTCTCTTAGATGGGTGGGGATGTGGTGGTTCTGGAGGTGGTAAGTACAGTGCCTGCACTCTCTAAGATGGGTGGGGATGTGGTGGTTCTGAAGGTGGTAAGTACAGTGCCTGCACTCTCTTAGATGGGTGGGGATGTGGTGGTTCTGGAGGTGGTAAGTACAGTGCCTGCACTCTCAAAGATAGGTGGGTTTGTTGCTGTTCGTTGGGCCATCACTAGACCAGGAAATATTTACCCTACTGGAAATATAGACAGAAAGCGAACTAAAATTATATAATTTTAAATTACCTATAGTATGAGAACTAAAATCGTCTGACTAGGTTCCATCAGGGCTGTGGATCAATGATACGAGATATTTCCCCTGCTACAATTTTCTAAGAAATTACTTCTTGTCGAATTACGCCGCTGGCTGTCTAAGATCATTTATCTTGTGATGTGTCATAGGCGTGTCCTCCAGACTAATGTGGCCTCTAGAGTAGTGTGACCTCCGAAATAACGTGATCCCCAGAGTAGGATGACCTTCAGAGTTTTATTGTGACCCGCAGGACCATAAAGAATGATGGGAGAGTCTGCAACCAAGGGTCTAGTTACCTTCGATGAGAGTCATGTCAACATCAAGCTTCCCAACAGGTGAGACTAGACAAAGTTCTTACACTAACATTGTTTTCATGTTTGAAATCAATACTAAAAGTTTTGTTATTATTATCAGAGTTGCTTATTATTCGTTGAAGAAGAATTTGGCTTGTTTTTTTTTATTGATTTGAGACTTATGGACTGCAGGATTATTAATATCTACAGACTGCCAGGTTCATTAAGATCTATAGATTGCCAAGGTCATTAAGGACACAATGGACCTACGTACTAACAATCAAGTACACTTTAATATCAAGCATAAGGAATAAAATAAACTTTGAATTGTAATTGTTTTGTATAATTAGTATACACGGACAGAATAAATACACTGACCTTTATTCAAGGAATCAATTTCTCCAATTTGTTTCGATTTTCATTTCTAAGAATAAAATATTGCTTTTTGAGTGCATCATTTACTTATTTAGCCTTTGTTTATTGAGTTATGTGTTAATATTTGAAATTGACCTGATTATTTCCTAATAGTTCTTATTTGTGTAATATTTCCTTTCTCGTTCAAGAGGCCTAGTCTGAGACTGGGCCGAGAGGATGGGGGGATATGATTCCGAAACCATTAAATGAAAACATTTTTATGGGTGTCCCGTGGCCTGGTAGGCAACGCTCTCGCCTCACACACTTTAGTGTCCGTGGTTCAATCCTCGGCAAGGCTGGAAACATTAGGACATGTTTCCTTAAGACACCTGCTATCCATGTTCACAGTAACATAGGTACCTGTGTGTTTCTCGACTGGTGTGGGTCGCATCCTGGGGACGAAATTGACCTAATTTTCCCGAAATGCTCTGCATAAGCGGCTTTCTATATAGCGGTATGCCATTGATGTCAGCTAGGCTTGTATACCTTGTACATGTACTTGTAGAAGTAAAGATTATTATTATTATAATTATTATATTATGAAACATGGAAATAAGTCACTCTGTCTGACTTTTTTGGGTTATCCTAGGTTCTCTACACATATGCTGCTATGTATGATAATTCTATGTAACTATTTGTGTATACCTGAATAAACTTACTTACTTACATTTTAGGTATTTACTGTTGGTGTTGGGGTTTATAGGGCCACTGACAGCGTACGCCGTACGCTGTCAGTGTCACTAGGAATTCACTGAACTTCGCTCCTTCCCCGAGCAGGTGTCGGCGATGTCACTTCTTCAACGAGGACCCTAGTGCTCCTTCCCTGAGGGAGAGTTATGTCATACTTCTGCAGCTGATGATGACCAAATCCATAGGGGACGTGTGCTTCCTGCTGTGTCTAGCCCTGCCTTGCCTGGCCCTCACGGTGGTGTCACTGACAATGCTGATGCTAGCAGGGTATGGCACTCTCGCCGGGGCACTCTTCCACAGCGGTGTCTTTCTCTTCATGACGTGGGTGTGTGTGGTGAGGTACTTCGGGCGTCGATACTCCACAGTGTACTCCACTGAGAAGGACCTACTCCACCTCAACGCTCCCATTGTTATGTGACTACGGGGAGGACCACGTGTGCATGACTGTTTCACTGCACTGAGGACCACGTGTGCGTGACTGTTTCACTGCACTGAGGACCACGCGTGCGTGACTGTGTTTCACTGCACTGAGGACCACATGTTACATCAGCATCATGTCACTGCCTGGCCTGAGCAGTTTAATATCATGTTGGAAATGGTATAAAATACCGAAAACTTTATGATTAAGACACATGTGCAACAGTTGGCTATCTTTATTGTTGAAACGGTTCGCCTACACAGTAGACTTCGTCAGTCAAATACAGAGGCAGCAGATGTAGTTGTGAAATGAAAATGTAATCAGTCCATGAACCTTGGAGAAATGGTATTTGAGGTGGTCAGCCCTCAGCGGAGAAGAGTTCAGCTTCATGGTCTGGAACGATATGAAGCTGAAACATGAGAATTGAATTTTAAATACTGTCGAAGGTGAGGCATTTAAAGCTTCATTCACATGTTTCAGCTTCATATCATTCCAGAAAATGAAGCTGAACTCTTCTCCAGGCTGAGGGACTGACCACCTCAAATACCATTTCTCCAAAGTTGATGGGACTGATTACATCATCTTCATTTCACTACTACTACACCTGTTACCTCTGTATTTAACTGAAGAAGCCTACTGTGTAGGCGAAACGTTTCAATAATAAAGATACCCAACTGTTGCACATGTGTCCTACTAATCATTCTGACGTCAGTCACTCTGTTGTAGCTTCTTGTTTGAATGCTAAAGTGCGTCACATTTTAACTAACGTCATCAGCACTTGAGTGTTATGTTGTAAAGTTGTCAGCGATAGTCCATAATCCCTGGGAGTTGCTGCAGCCGCCCAAGAACAATCGTCAAGCATGTGAAGGTCGCCACTGAGGTACGTTCACAACAGTAGAGCGTCATCTTAAAAAATGGTATAAAATACTGCCACTTGGTGATTAAGACATTTGTGCAACATTAGGCAAGTGTCTTAATCACCAGCGTCTTACTGAACACAGGTGTTTTGTTTAATAATGTTCAGCTGAACAATGCAGATCATGTTTTTGGACAAATCGGACATTGAGGTCAGTTGATTTTTTTTTCTTCTTCGTTTCCTCAAGGGAGGTTACTAGACATCAGTAGTGAGATCTTGATCCAAGGAATCTAACCTGACCTCCCATTCCATGAATCAGACCTAACCCTCCCTTCCCCAGCAATCAAAGTATGACCCCCTACCGGTTTAGGTAGGTATTATGTTTGTCAGGAAACAGGACAAGTGTTTCCTGACGCGAGTCTCCGCCATATGATGATGATCCATAGCTGGAACTTTTGGTCATCTGACCGTGCCTTTCCCTAGCTTACCGGTCCACCCCTTTAAAAACTATGGTTATGATTATAACCATTTCTTTATAGTGTATATATAACGGTTAAGAGCTCCCCCTATTATTATTATATTAATTATTATTATATTATTATTATTATTATTATTATTATTATTATTATTATTATTATTATTATTATTATTATTATTTACTCCTTCATTTACGACGTTCTTCGTATTTATGTCTTATAACCGGAAGACATGAAATGTGTGAATATTATATATTAAATTCTATAAAATATATTGCCTTTTTAATATACCTTTACTTAATGATAGTTGTGTATCTTCATTATAAGTATATATATATATATATATATATATATATATAATATATATATATATATATATATATATATATATATATATATATATATAATATATATATATGTGTGTGTGTGTGTGTAAAATATTTTAATTTTCCGAAGCTATTGCGCCTAATAGGTGTTTAATGTGTCGATATGAGTCAAAAATGTATTTGACAATAGGACAGAACCAAGAGTTCCCTTTGCGCATGCGCGGATGTGCGGGGGTAGAGGTCGACTCAGGGCATGGGAGAGGCGGGAGTGTTTTGAATGTAGTGAGGAGGCTGGGAAAGCATGGAACCAGGAAATTGGCGTTGACGGCGGCCTAAGGATTAATATAGGCCTCATTTCATAATAGGAAGTGTCGTGACTGTCCCTGGTGAAGAGTGAGGGAACGTGATTGATGGCACCGCTGTAAATAAGGTGGTAAAATGAGTGAATAATGGTAGGACCGGGGGTGATTGGCGCGTCGCCATGGACTGTGTCCCGGGGAAAATTACCCGTGATCTAATCATCACTCATCGGTCTCAAATCTTAATGGAGTGGCCTCCAATGTGTATAATAATTATGAGACATTAAACCGTCTTGTAAATCGTAATGTAATCAGTGATAATAACACTAAGTTAAGGAATCGTTGAAGCGATATGAACTGCCATTCCCAGAGTGTGTGTGCACATGTTTACCTCGTTGTTCCTGTCCCGAGGATAGTGAAGGCTTTATGGAGTCACAAGTAAGTAAGTTTATTCAGGTATACACAAATACAGTTACATAGAATTATCATACATAGCAGCATGTGTGTAGAGAACCTAGGATAACCCAAAAAAGTCAGACAGAGTGACTTATTTCCATTGGGGTCCTTTTACCTTATTATTATAATATAAAGGTTATAATATTTTCTTATTATTCTACAATGAAGATAACATCTTATTATCATACTAAAAAGACTATCTACTACACCAAGGTCATTAAGACTATCTACAATACGAGGGTCATTACTAGGAATAAGGTAAAATTTACACGTATGTTAGCTAAAAAATAGAAAATCATTCCCCTCCCTTTCTGTAGCTACATTCATCAGACACCTTTTGGCACTCTTCTTGAACTGGTTCATGCTATGACTGGCTTTGACATGTGCGGGCAGTCTGTTCCATTCCTTTATTGCTGTACAATAAAAGGTGTTTGAAGCCTGGCCACTGACTGTGGGTACTACAAAGTTGTGCTCTCTCCCCCTAGTACTATGATTGCTTTGGTTCCCAAACCTTGACAAAATTGACAGCAAGATATTCTGGACATTGTTTGTGAGCAATTTTATAAACATGATTTAGCTTCAGTTGTTTTACTCTGTCTTCAACATTCAGCATATCCAACTGCTGTAATTCATCCTGGCCTACATGTTCTCTTGGTCCCAGCCCCAGGATGAATCTTACGATTTTGTTCTGGGTGATTTGCAGTCTATCTTTCAGTTTTTTTTGTCAAGGCAGAGTACCAAGAAGAGCAAGCGTAATCCATATGGCATTGTATAAGGGCTAGACATAGGGTCCTGCGAGCCTCAGTAGGTAGACTCTGTGCTTGTCTATACAGGAACTTCAGTCTGGCATTCGCTTTCTTTACTACACTGTTCCCTATCAATATCTCCTGACATGCATGGGTCAAAGGGGATTCCCAAATATTTTACTGAAGAAACCAAAGTGATGGCTCCCCATTACATTGAACATTAAAATTATTTACCCTTCTCAGTTTATGTTTCGTGCCAAAGAGAATGGCTTCAGTTTCCCTAGGTGTAATGATAGTTTGTTGTCTACTAACCATTTGCTGCAGACTCCAGTTCCAGTGTTTAAAACATTAGCAATATCTTGTGGGTCTTTACTGACACTAACAGAGCACTGTTCATCTGCATGCAGTAGGAGTTTGCACTTGACACTGATAGGCATATCATTGACATAACATAAGAATAATAGGGACCCAGAATACTACCTTGGGGAACTCCACATGTTATCGGCAGGGGTTCTGATTCTGTTTTGTTGATTTTGACTATTTGTCTCCTGTTGCTAAGGTAGGACTTAAACCAGTCTACAGAACCTATACCGATAGCTTGAAGTTTATTACATAATATATTGTGGTTGACAGTATCGAAGGCCTTTTGCAGGTCTAAGGTTACCATACCTATGAGGTTCCCCTTTGACATTTCAGTTTTCAGGTACTCCATCAGATTAATAAGGGGGGGTGTCGGTTGAGTAGGATCTTCTAAAGCCCGAATTGATAGCTATGGAGAATGTTGTTGTCATTAAGGTACTTAACTACTTGAGAATACACCGCCCTCTCTAGAATTTTAGATATTATACTGAGTATACTAACAGGCCTATAGTTGCTTACATCAGACCTACTATTTTTCTTGAAGATAGGAGTAACTCTGGCCTCCTTGAACCCCTCCGGTACGGTATTAGTGGTGATTGATAGATTTATTATGTGAGCAATAGGGATTGACAGTTCAGAAGCACCATCTTTTAGGAACTTAGACGGGATGTTATCAGGGCCTGTGCTCTTAGTTGGGTTTAACCTACTTAGTTCTTTTTGAATAAAGTCATGAGATACACTTACTAGTTGATAACTGTTTGGGGTTACCCCTTTATTGGTACAGTATGTTTGAAACTTATCAGAGTCTGTGTTAAAGGTATTTGACTTCTAAACCGGGACAAACCGACGGATACCTCGTCCTGCTGGAATAAGAACCGTGTCGGTGTAGCAGGACATCGAAATGAGATGGTGAATGGAGGAAATAAGGAGTATCAATCACCCACAGTTAAGTAACCCTTCTAGTTATAGCAGACTGATACTGGCCAGTTAGGTATGTTGTAATTGGATAGGTTATGAGTGATCCAGCTACATCAAGTGACCACCAGAGAATATCTAGTAAGTAATTTAAGCATACAAACCGAGGTACAAAAAATACAGGTAAGAGCAGCATGCCAAAGCCACTTATATGCATAGCATTACGGGCTGGCTTAAAATTAACTTAAGATTAACTAAGCAATGATGAAATCAGTGATAAAACATTATTGTAAACAGATAACTATAAAGCACAAATGAGTATTACAAAGACAGGTCATATGGTTGCTTGCATTGCTGTACATTCAGTCGAATGGAGTATTCTGTTAGGTAGTGTATTTAAAAAAATAATAAAGTTAGATTGGGTCCTAGGTTTAACATTTGTGTGATATAATTGTGAGTAACATATAGGATATACAATTTATAAGGTTCAGTTATTCAGTATTTATTTGGTTTTGAGTGAGTAAGTGATCTTTGAGAAGAGACTTGAATTTATAAACAGGTAGTGTTTCTTTTATATTTACAGGTAATGAATTCCAGATTTTAGGGCCTTTTATGTGCATTGAGTTTTTGCATAGCGTGAGATGGACACGAGGAACATCAAAGAGTGATCTGTGCCTTGTGTTATGGTCATGTGTTCTGTTGAGGTTGGCAAGGAAATGTTTGAGGGGAGGGTTACTATCAGAGTTAAGTGTTCTATGTATGTAATAGGTGCAATAATAAGTATGGATGTTTTGTATGGTGAGTAGGTTGAGTGTTTTGAATATTGTGGGAGTGTGTTGCCTGTAGTGAGAATTTGTTATCATTCTAACTGCAGCCTTTTGTTGGGTAACTAGTGGTCTGAGATGGTAATTGTTGTTGAGCCCATGCACAAATTCCATAGGTGAGATAGGGGTAAATAAGAGAGTGATAAAGGGCCAGGAGGGCTGACTGTGGAACATAGTACCGTATCTTCGATAGTATGCCTACAGTCTTGGAGATTTTCTTAGAAATTTGTTGTATATGTGTATGAAATTTGAGTCTATTATCGAGGGGATTCCTAGGAATTTTCCCTCTGTTAGCTTTGTGATAGGTGATCCGTTTATTGTTATGTTAAGAGGTACAATCTGTAGCTCTGTTACCAAAACTGAATGAAGTAGGTTTTGTCAATGTTTAGTGTAGTTTGTTAGTCCTCATCCAGGTAGATATTTTCTGTAATTCGGTGTTTACAGTATTGCCTAGCGTGACTGGGCTCGGGTGAGAGAAGGCGTATGTAGTGTCATCTGCAAAAAGTGTGGGTTTGAGTAATTGCGAAGCATTTGGTAGGTCATTTATGTATAGGAGAAAGAGAAGAGGGCCAAGGACACTTCCCTGTGGGACACCAACTGTAATTGGTTGTGCGGAAGAGCTTGCCCCATTTGCATACACATATTGGCTTCTGTTGCTGAGGTAAGACTTGAGGTAGTTGAGGGAGTGCCCTCTAATACCATAGTGTGACAATTTTACGTGGAGCAAGTCATGGTCAACTGTATCAAAACCTTTACGTAAGTCAATGAAGATCCCCAGTGGGACTTCTTTTTTCTCTATTGCAGTGTATATATGTTCTAGCATGTGTATAATAGCATCATTAGTATTTTTATTAGACCTGAATCCAAATTGGCAGGGGTTGAGAATGTTTTGGGAGATGAGGTAGGAGCAGATTCGTTTATGAATTAATTTTTCGAAGATTTTTGAGAGAGGGTGTAAATTGGATATTGGCCTATAGTTATTCAACTCTGTTTGGTCTCCTCCTTTATGGATCGGGGTGACCCTTGCTATTTTGAGAACTGTAGGGAAGGTGGAGGATTCAATGGATTTGTTAAAGAGTGTTGCAATGATTGGTGATAGTACTTGTGACGCTTTTTTGTATATAAAGGGTGGTAAGGTATTTAAATCTCCTGCCTTGTTTTTTAGTGTTGATAATAAGGGAGACTTCGTATGGGTTAGTCGGAGCTAGGAACAGTGTGTTCGGGTAGTTGCCAGTGAGGTAGTCATTTGGTGGGGTATCTGAGCTTGGGATTTTATTGGCTAGGTTTTGACCTATAGTGGAGAAGAAATCATTGAGTCTGTTTGCTGTTTCTGTTGGTGGGAGTTGGGGTTCATCTGATTTTGCTAATTTTATTTCGCTATGTCGTGATATCTTTTTGTTCCCAGAATTTCTGATAGGGTCTTCCAGGTCTTTTTTATATCACCTCGTAAGTTGGATAATCTGTTCTCATAATACAATTTTTTTTTGCCCTTCTTATCAGGCTGGTTAGGATTGACGAGTAACGTTTTGTTTGGTCTCTGGTTATGTGACCTATTCTGTACTGTTTTTCATATCGGTGTTTTGTATTTATGGATTTGAGAATGCTGGGTGTTAGCCAGGGACTGTTCAGTCTCTTAGCTGTCATCTGTTTAGTTTTTTTAGGGCAGTGCTTGTTATAAAGGTATTGGGTCTTTTTTAGAAAATTATTAAAACATTCGTCAATATCTGTATAGATTTCTAGCTCAGTGTGCCAGTCAATGTTTGTTACTGCTGTTGTGAAGTTATTAATGGCTGCCTCATTGTGAAGTCTGAAGGTGACTTTAGTAGTGTCTTGGGGTATTTTACCAAGAGTTGTTATGAGGAAAGTAGGGTAGTGATCTGTGGTATTATCTGTAATTATGCCTGATTTTAAAGGGGATATGGTGTTGGTCCAGATGTGGTTAAGTAGGGAAACACTAGTCTGTAACTCTTGTAGGTTTTGTTACTGTTGGTAGCAACATACAGTTACTCATTGTGTTTGTGAATTCAGTAACGTGTGGGTCCTGGTCTTGCAGGAGATTTATATTGAAGTCACCTGAGAGTAGTAAGTGATCTTTGTTCATGCGTGCATCAGTTATCATACTTCCTAGGTTTTGACTAAATTGGCTAATGTTTGGTTGTGGAATTCTGTAGATGTTTATCACTGTGAGAGGTTTTTGTAGGTATTTGGATCTGAATTTAGCTATTATATATTCCCCATGTTCATCCCTTGTGCAAGTATTAGTGATACATTCTAATTGGTCTGAGTAGTATATGGCTATGCCACCCCCTTGTTGGTCTGGCCTACATTTGTGTATGGCTGTGTAACCAGGAATGGCATAGACATCTGTAGTATCAGGCTTTAGCCAGGTTTCAGTTAGTGTAATGATGGACATATTGGCATGCAAGGGAAATTTTTAGTAATGCTAGGAAGTCATCATAATGCTTGCTTAAAGATCTGATATTGTAGTTAAAGATAGTTATGTTGTTGTTAGCTCTGATAAGTGCCTTTGATTGTTCTGCTGTGTAGTAATTACAGTAACTGTTTGATTCATTTAAGTCATTAAATAAGAGGTTGGTATCAGGATCAATGCTTGTAATCATAAGATTTGTAGTGAATCTATAGTTAGAATTAAGTAAAAAATAAAGTAAATATTCTAAAGTTAAAAAAAATAGCACCTGAATTATTTAACAAATGTAAAAATAATGAGCTAAGGTAGTTTTTTAAAGCTAAAATAAAGGAGATTATGTACAAGTGTTTTTCCTTGATGGATATATCCATGTGTAACCTACCCCCCCCCTTCATTCAGTTACACTAATATAATCTATACAGTCCACAATTAATTAGTAGCACCGTACTTGTGGGTGCTATCCAATCCATACTGGTCTCGGATAGATATGGATAAGATTGTGAGGTCGAAGGAACCACCTGCCGTGACCAGGGGTGGTTTTAAGTTTTCTCACATGTCTACACGGGTTGACTACGGTAAACAATATGGTTGTCTCCCAATGAGTTTACTTGTATGCATGTAATGTTGAGGTACATAAAGGTAATCACCCTAGAAAATTTTCACACACACACACACACACACACACACACACACACACACACACACACACACACACACACACACACACACACACACACACACACATACACACATACACACATACACACACATTCATATACAACAGGCCTAGTGTCTAATCGACATGTGCCTAGGACAAAATGGTAACTAACTAACACACACACACACACACACACACACACACATATATACATATACATACATATATATATATATATATATATATATATATATATATATATATATATATATATATATATATATATATATATATATATATATATATATATATATAATGTGTGTGTGTGTGTGTGTAAAATTCAAGTATCCTTGATTAGTAAGTAAGTAAGTTTATTCAGGTATACACAAATACAGTTACATAGAATTATCATACATAGCAGCATATGTGTAAAGAACCTAGGATAACCCAAAAAAGTCAGACAGAGTGACTTATTTCCAAAAGTGAATAGCCACGTAATGGCCCTCTTATAATTTGTAACAGCCATTATACTTAACGTCTGTGGCGACCTTGCTTGAAATTATAGTTTAACGCTTAAATAAATGATGATTTTATTTGTCAAGTTTTTTTATATTAAAATCTGAGGTAAGATGAAAGACAATTGTTGGCTACTTTATACACATGATTTAGCTGTTGTTCTACGGCTTGTGGAGGAAGGCGGTCACTAACTCTAAAATTAGAAAAAAAAAAGAAAATGTAAACTTTTTTAGATGTATACGGATTTTTGAAAGTAATATTCACTTTTTATTTGTAGTATTTGTTCTATTTATTCATAGATTTTTGTAATATCTCAACTTTACTTCAAATATTTGTAAGGTATAAGATTATAACTACGTCTCTCACTGTGTTAGCCCTTAACGACAACAACAACATTTATACTGTGGGTCTCTTTTTAAGTTCATTTAAATGACTGTCAGTCCAGTACAGTCGATCAGCAAGTTGTTTGAAGGCAGTTTAGTCAACCCATCCCAGTCAAGACAACCCAGTCCAGTTGAGTGAATCCGCTTGAGTGAACCCAGTTCAGTCAACCTTGTCGTTTGTCCAGCCCAGTTCAGTCAACCTTGTCGTTTGTCCAGCCCAG